CCTGCACCTCCCTCCCACCCTCCGGCCCGGCCCGCCCGGGAGGCCGCTCGCCCGCCGGCGAGGAGGGCAGAGCGGACCCGGACCCGTCGGGGCGGCCGGCGGGGCCGCCTCTCCTCACCGCTACATGGCGGGGCCCGCCGGTTGCCATGGAGACCGCGGGGCGCCCCGGCGCCGCTCTCCCCACCACGGGAAACTTGGCGCGTTTTCCGCGCCGCCAGGACCCGCGCCCTCACCCCTCCTCGCGCCCAGGCGCTCGCAGCCGCCCGGCTCAAACGCCGGAGCGGAAGGCACCGAAGGCGCCGGCCAGAATAGAAGGGCCATGGTGACGGGCAGGCGATGAGTCTCACACCGGCTTGCGGCGAGCCGAGAGGCACCTCTGCGCGGGCACGGCGGAGCCGCGGCTCCGTCGCTGCAGTCAGGCAATGCGCCGGCCAGCCCACGGGGTCCTGCGTAGGCGCGCGAGAGCGCCGGTAACCGCCCGGCCTAAAGGACTCAGACTCGCAGAGGGGGGGTGGAGGGGGAAGGGAAGGTGGCCGGGACGAACCATTGCGCAGAGATACCCCTCTTTGCCCCCCCTCCTCTAGCGGCGGTGGTTTCGTCCGGCGGTAACCCCGCCCCTTCCCCTCCTCCGCCAATCAGAGCGAGAGGCGCGCGGCGCCGTTGGAGCCCGCTGAGGTAACGGCGATGGCGGGCGGTGTTGGAGCGCTCGGGGGCTGGCCGCGGCGGGACCTGCCCCGTCCTCTAACGACATAACAGAACCGCCCCGGGGGCTGCCCGCGCGTTTCTGCACTCGTAGCTCACGCTTTACCCTCCCAGCTCCCATCACATCCGCGCTAAGCGGCTTTGGCAGCACAGCTACGGAGAACGCAATAAAGCACAGACTTTACCGAGGCTGTTGAGGCTGAAAACAACCCTAGTGTAGGGATCGGTACGCTCACAGAAGAGGATATGTGGGAAAATAACATCGTTTACTCCATTCTGCCGTTTAAAATACATAGAAGGTTCGCTGACGGCCTTTGTGTATAAACAATGTCCAGTGACTCAGGATGGCTTGGAGTAAATACACCTATTGCCTGTCATGCATATGGGGTAGCTACAGATTCATCACACTGTTTACAAAGGCCCCTTTCTACAGAAAAGCGAAGACTTTCATTCTTTTTCCACACTAATACTGTTTTTGTTTTGAATAAAAACAACTTGGGCAGTCCAACTAATGAGAGGTTGTGAAATACATCTTGGAAATGTATTAAAGTGAATTTCAGGCTTCCCAGACCTTCCTCAGGAGATGCTTTCTATGCTTAACCCAAAGAGAGATGCACTTCCGTTTTCTTTTAATAAAAACAATTAAGTATTTTAAACCTGTTATCACCGAGCATCTGCAGCACACACAGTTGTTCAGTTTATGATGAAAGACCTCAATCATCTGTGGCTTCACTTGCTGTGAGTTAGGAGCTCTTGTCTTTACACATGCGCTGGCTTCCATATTCCACAAACACGTCTGTCTCTGAAGATCACTCCGTATTTACTCCATATAGAATTGTAGAATCATACATAAGGCCTTACATTTTTCACAGCTCTTCTATGGCAGGGCTTGGACAGCGCAAGATGGGAGAAACATGATGAAGGCATTGCTGGAGTAAGTATTTTTTACACACCATGGATCTGCTCCTTTAAGTCTGTATGTTGTGATGCTATGTAATGTAATATTGCCCCAAAAGGTCAGAAATCTATTAAAGATTCATCCTTTATCTGGAGGAATAAGGAGCTCTGTGTGTTAGTCACACTTCTTCAGCACTGGTGTTAATAATTGTATTAAAGGGAAAGCCTCTTAAGTTAGAACACAGTTTTATTGCAATTACATCTGTGACTGCACTGGAAAACTTTGGCAAATGTTTTCTAGGTTACTGAGTAAGATATTTTATAGGATTGGTTTCATAACTGACTTCAAACCATGCCCAGACTGAGGCCTTAGCATCCTTTCACCTTGGACAGAGGTACCCTGTATTTGAGTACTCAGTGTAGAGGTGAAAGAATGGTAGAATCCAGCCTGGTTTGGGTTGGAAGGGACCTTAAAGCTCATCCAGCTCCAACCCCTGCCACGGGCAGGGACACTTTCCACTAGAGCAGCTTGCTCCAAGCCCCTGTGTCCAACCTGGCCTTGAACACTGCCTGGGATGGGGCAGCCACAGCTTCTCTGGGCACCCTGTGCCAGCGCCTCAGCACCCTCAGAGGGAAGAGCTTCTGCCTAAGAGCTCATCTCAGTCTCCCCTCTGGGTGCTTAAAGCCATTCCCCCTTGTCCAAGGACGCCAGGACAAGCTCCTGCTGCCATCCCCAGGCATGGCACTGGGCTCTCTTGCTAAATACCAAAGCAAACCATGAAATCACACATGATTGCCATGCCAGTTTTGAAAAGGTGCTAGTCCTGAGTGTTGTGGTTTAAGCCCAGCGGTAACTCAGAACCATGCAGCTGCTTGGTCACTCCTCTTCTTACCCCCTGCTCCCGGAGGGATAGGGAGGAGAATGGAAAGAATGTAACTCCCACAGGTTGAGATAAGAGCAGTCCAGTAACTAAGGTATAACACAAACTACTGCTACCACCAGTAATAATAATGATAAGGGAAATAACAAGGGGAGAGAATATGAAACTAAAAGGGGAAAAGGAAAACAATAAACACAAGTGATGCACAATGCAATTGCTTACGACCTGCTGACCAATATCCAGCCTGACCTGGAGGATGATCTGGGCCTTCCGGGTAGCTCCCACCAGTTTCTATACTGGGGGGTACCACAGCACGACGTGCGACCTGCTGTAGTATGGAATACCCCTTTAGCTAGTTTGGGTCAGGGGTCCTGACTCTGCTTCCTTCCAGCTTCCTGTGGCCCTCCTCCCTGGCAGAGCATGAGACTGAAAAAGTCCTTGATAGGAGTAAGCGTTACTTTGCAACAGCTGAAAACATTGGTGTGTTATCAGCGTTGTTCTCAGGCTAAAGCTAAAAACACAGCACTGCACCAGCTACCAAGAAGGAGCAAAATAACTGTTAGAGCTGAACCCAGGACACTGATAATGTCCTATCCACATCCATGGGTATTTTACTCCCCTCTCTTCAGGCAGTTCCCTCATGACTCGTGTATGCTTTTTTCTGTGTTTCCTGTACAGCAATGTATAACTTTGCAATTTGATATGTTAGTGCAAGAAAAAAAATGGGAAGCTGGGTGCTTCTTACGAGTATTTAAAGCTATTTTGTTCTGAAAAGTTCTTTGCAACCTTTTGGGATGTTTTTCACGTTGCTACATGAATTAATTATTACTGCAGATCAATGTCCTTAAATACACATATGAATTATGGCAGAAATTATATATACTCCTTCAGTCATATGCATGCTTACTACACATATTTTGCTTTCTCGTAAAGGATAAAATATCCTCATATGCCTGCAGAATTGCAGGCCCATCACCCAAGGAGCCAAGGTTCAGATTCTCGAGGTATATATTGTTCTAAAGATTTATTTCCTTGGCTAGTGGGATTTACAGAGCTCTGAAGCTGGCTAGATGCTGAGCTCCCATTGGAAGCTGCTGGATTTCCTGACCTGGGTTCTGCAGCATGACACTGAGTTGCTTTAGCAAACATTGCCTTAACTTTGCTGTGGTTAGTAGACACTCAGGACTACAGAGGTTCTTTTGTATGAGACAAGAAGCATGCGTAAGGAAGTCTTATCCAGGTGGGTGGTGCTCAGAAGTCGTGTAGCTGCTTTGTTGCTTAATAATGTGTTTCATTAAATCTGCTTTACGCTGCTAGTTTGAGTGGCCACATGAGGAGTCACTTCACAGGGAGCTGGAAGGTGCTGGGCAGTAACGACTGTGGTGACAACAGAGTGGTGTAATGAGAGAGGATGACATCTCTTGAGTGCTTGACTGTGAATCAAAACCAGACTGGAATAAACTCCAAGGGCAGGAGTCCAGCTGCTCCGGGTAGGCTTGTGCTCGATACAGAGCGAGTCCTGACAGATCTCAAGTCAAATGACATGACTAAGGCTGTTTAATTACTTACTAATACTGCATTTCAATAAAAGTCTACCCTGTCAAGTGTGTGGTTTGGAATCTGCTTCAACAAACCTGATAAAAGACTATTTGTGTCCAAGGATTTTACAGTCTGATAATCTGATTCCTCATATACAGGTTTTAGGTATGCTTTTGCCTAGGAACACCATCAGTGACTTTGGGGGTCCTAGTTTAAAGTTAGGCTGCAAACATTTACAGGCTTGTGGTTTAACTTTCAGGTGTCGTAACTGAGTGAAAGAAGGAGGGGAGATGTTAGCAGAGAGTATATTTGCAGAGACTGGAAGTGTATGCAGCTTTTCACACGGTTGTTACAGGGCTTTGTTCTGTCTATTGCATTTTATTTGGCTAATGAAGCATTCAACTCAGTTTTAATAGGTATAATTATTACTGTAATCAACAAATGCATATGCCACCTAACCAATACATCAAGTAAGTACGAGACAGTAAAGTACCTCTTGCAATGTTTAGTCAGCACGTGTCTGAAACAAACTTTACCTGCCCTTTTTCCACAGTGTCGGGTCTGTTTCCAAATGCTTCCATTCAGAGAAGCTTCTTGTGTCATCCTGTGATGAGCCTGTTGTTCACCCCGATAGATCTCCATGTCAGGCCTCCTTCCTGAATGTGTTTTACTTCTTCTGTTGGTAATTTAATCTGATTGCATATAACCTTTATCCCGCTCTAAATAATTTCTCTCCCTTATCATACCCACGATGAGCTTCCTCATTCTCTATCATCATTATTTTAACCAAACCACACATACTTCATTTTTTATCTCTACTTGTTAGTTCCCTCTGGCTTCTAAAGACAAAGTTAATATAAGAGACATTCTGGTTGAGTGTTCTTTAAGTTTCCCCTCTGTCACCTGTATGGAAAACCATTTGCAATATATGGATATTTTTTAGCTCAATTTGTATTCATTAGAGCATTAGTTTCTGTTGATTTCAGTGTACTTAATTCTCATCCTGTGCCAGCAAATGCTGGTTTTGAGGTCACTGCATATACAGCATTTTATATTTGTCCTTTAAGCTTGCCCTTTAACCACTGAAAACAGCGGAGTTTTCAGATGGTTCTTGAGTAGAAATCAGCAAGATGAAGAGAGATGACGTCAAAGAGGTGAAGTTGGTTGTGTGGGAAGCCACAGGACATGAAATCAAGGACACGGCAGAGATGGGCTGCCCACACCGGGTAATCAGATTGACTTTCTAATTACAGGTAGCAGCAAGACTCAAACTGCCTTTGAAGAACTACGGGAGAAATCAAGATTCATTCTTGGTATTTAGTGTGTGCTCCTGGAGGCCATTTCAAGGCAAATGACACGAGGTAATGTTTGCAGCATGAAATGAGGCTTTATAATTAGCTAATTTTAACAAACCCTCCTAGGAAACCTGTGTGGTTAATGGGTGGAGTGAAATCTTCGCTGCATTTCCAGCGACTCATTGTTTAAATCTGGCAGTACAGTCACACCTCTGTCTTTGCTTTCTTCCATAGATACACACACATACATCAAGTGTAATTACAGTCCAGGTAATGATTGTATCTGAAGGTTTATGGCAGAGGCAGTGTCACCCCTTGGCATACCCAGGACAGGCTGGTTAGCTGATTCATGACTCTGCATTAAAAAATACCAGCAAAGCCATGATTTATTTTAGACAGCAAGCACAGGAGAAGCAGAAGCTTCTTTCACTGGGAAGTGGCTGCTACAACCAGAACGACACAGTGCCTTGCTGCCCAAAAGCACAGCTCCATCACAAAACCAGCCATCCAACAGCCTTCCCACCCAGAGAGCCACAGAAGAGACCCCTCAGCTTAGTGCAATCTCCTCTTTACCAGCCTTTCACCCTCTCAAATTTTTATGCACCCTCTTAAAATATGGCTTCTTGTCAATGCGGGAGATTTTTCCAGCAGGAAAATGTTCTGTGTAAATGTAAGGAAATGAGGATTATTTTTTTTCTGTATCTAACTAAAAATAGAGCAACACCTAATTAAATATTTATGGTGGCTTAGCACACTCAATAAAGGAACTGTTGTCTAGAAGCCTCCAAAGCTTCAGCTTCTTGCAGTGGTGTTTCAAATACAGGCCAGAGAGGGAGCAGGTGCAAGAGGCAGTAATTGCATATGTACAGTTCTGAGACACTCAAACATGCAAGATTAAGTTATGTCTAATACTATAGACTTCACAGCCATATGCTATAAAAAATAACTGCACTGGGAGACCAGAAATCTCCACAGACATAGCCAAAAATAACTATATGAAATGCCTGGAAAGAGCAGATTCCCCAGAGGCTGGATTTCTGGACTCTTAGAGGAAGTCTCCAGCACAGAGCACCATTCCCTGAAGGAAAAACCCTCCACAACCTCTAGCTGTTGCTGAAACACCTAAATGAGAGAGCAGCTTCCAAACCCTGCAGCCATATCGGTGACAGGCCTTTAAATCTGCCAGGGTTCCCATCCTGTCAGAATTACTCTGAATTTTGTGAGCATTGTGCAAGCTGTACACAGACAATGTGCTCTTTCAGCAGGCTCCCATCACCCAGAGACCTCCATGCAGGAAGCTCTGTGCCTCCACTGGGCTCTCCACTGTTCACGTTAGCAAAACCTATTCCACTCCTGAGGAATATGACTCTCGATCCAGCACCCTACGGCAGGAAAGGTAAGAAACCATTCACAAACATGAGAATACTGCCCATATAATGTCCAGACAGGACTGGCTTCAGGCAGAAGGAATAGAAAGGAATACTTAGAGCTCTTATTGTTTGGTGATACTTTCACAATCAGAAACACAGGAATGAATTGTCCCACTCACTTTATTACAATGGAAAGGAAAATGCACTTTTCCCACAGCAAACAGCCTGGGATCATCACAAACCTTGAACTATTCCTGCTTGATGAGCTACATCTGCTTTCAGAGGATCTGAGATAATTTCATAACCCATTTAACTTCAATACTATTGTGTTGGTCCACGTGGGAATAATTTGGCCTCTGTAGGACTGTGGTCCCCTTGAGAGCAGGATCTCTCCAGGGCTTTGCCTGGTTTGTAGCAAATCAACAGGATTACTTTCTGTGACTTGAGGTCAAACGAAGGGGCTGAGGCAGCAGCAGAGCTAATGTCTCATCATTGGTGGGATCTTCTTCACTGGATCTTGCTAATATGGGTCACAGAGCAACTCCTTTCCACCCGGGAGGGACTCTTGGAGTTACAGCATCACCAATCTCTGCCATATAAGACCCAGACCAAAGGCTTGACCTGTGTGGCCTGCTGTTGTCCAGAAAGCTTTAAATTAGGCATCCATAAATAAAGAGATTTTAGGAAAAGCAGGAAATAATAAATTAGAAATGGCGATGGGTCTGTAAACTCCATTGCAAAGCCTGCAATGAGCTCCTTTTTATTTCAGCTTCCAAAAGGCAAATGTCAGCTTGGAGGCTTGAGCCACAAATCATGTGCTTGTCAGTGCACAAACCATGATGTGCTTCTCCATGTGGGAGAGTTTATCAGTTTTGAGATCAAGATTTATAGCTTGTGATACTGCAGGCAGTATGCAGCTCATTTATCTCTCTCTTAACTTAGGAGAAAACACAGTTGGATGTGATCTATGAACGTCCTAGAGCTACATATGCATCTATTACAACAAAGAAAATAACAATGATTACACCCATAATGTTGAGATAAAGCAGATTAGTTCATAACAACATAAAGTGTGGTTCTGGAAGCACTGAAAGCACCAAGAATCTGCTGAAGGTAACACGGTTCTGCAGCCAGGTCTGAAACAACATTTCTCCTCAAGTCTCTTTGAAAGCTGAATTCTGCACTGCAGAAAGAAGTGATGTTTTGGAACTGGTCCCATTGCATCGTTAGGCTGTTTCCCCACCTCTTGTCTGTCTGTGTATTTTCTTTCCTAGCCTGCTGCTCCATTTAATATGACATATGGATCCACAGCTTCCCTGGTAGCACAGGCAGTGCGGTTTTCCATTATGGGCAGGAATTCAAATGAGAAGCCAGGTGCTGTATTTCAAGCCATAATTAATATAAAATAAAAAAACAAAAATATCTCCCCATCTCTGTTCTTAGGTTGGATTAACATCTCACAGAGCTGTAACTCAGTCCTGGCAGCAGAAACAGGAGGAAACACAGCCCGCACATTCTTGCACCATCTGCTGGTAGCATCTCCATTGACAGACACACCTAGAAGAGATTTTATAATTCCTCGCAAACCTGGAGGGATACATCCACATCTAGAGACATGAGACCACCATTATAAAGATTCAGGATACAGGTGAGGGTTTGTTTAAACTACAAACAGTTGGTTCTCCATAGTGGAGCCATTTCTGCCAGGTTTTTAAGGAACTCCATAGCAAGGCCTCTATGACCCCAGCGTAGCCACGTCAAGAAGGGATTTACAGAGCCTTTTGTGTCCCTGCAAAAACCTCCACTAGCTGCTGTTGCAGTCAGCATGAGCAAAAGCACACAAAGAAGAGGTCTAGGCTCTCAAGCCTCGTAGTCTGCTGCCTGCAGATGGTTGTGGCCAATGTCTCATCACCCTCTGGTGCAGATGAGTCTCTCCTGGCCCCACAGCAGACCTCTGCTGGGTCTTGTCCCCATCACACAGCCATTCCCTCCTGCTGGAAACTCTCATCTGAAGAATGGGATCCAGTGATGCCTGTCAGGTGTCTTGCCCATTGCAGAGACTTAATGTGGGTTAAAACCAAACACAGCGCTTTCTTACTGTCAAGGTCATCCTAATGCGAGCGAAGGGAATGAATCCCTCCAGTAAAAACAAAACTTTATTAAAGCATTTATGATGTTAAGTTGCCTAGAAATAGAGTGGTTCCTTCTTTCTGCCCCATCCGTCAATACAAGAAGGGGCTGTAAGCTGGTCACAGGAGGGTGGTGTCAAAGGATATGAAAAGTCTCCTTGTGCAGACTGCAGTCCGTCTCCTGAGTTCCCAGCTCCAAGAAGACTCAACATTAAATGCCCATGCTTGGCTTTTAAAGAGGGTTGGCAGTTTCATAACAAGTAACATCCTTGTCCATGGGAGCCCTGCGAAGCTGAGGGGTCACATTTCTCTCCTCAGCTTGGCGGATGGAACCATAGCAGTTTGTGGAAATGGTCTTCTCTAGGTGCAGCTCATCAGGAGTGTTATGGGTAAGTTGTCCCCTGAGCCATCACACACTAAACCACTACTAAAGCACAGAAACTCCCAGCAGGGTGGGTCAGTGTGAATTTATGAGACCACCTCTTGGATGAGAGTGACAAATCCATATAACTAAACATCCAGAAAACCAAAGCTAAGGCAGAGAACAGCTGAGCATCTCTGCAATTCATGTTCTGTGTAGCAGATTTCTTCTACCCTTTTTTTTAGTACCAAAACATAGGAAATGCAATCACACCCTAGTTGATAAGCAGCAGTTGGAGACTGGGAAGACAGAAAGCAGGAAGAGAAAACACATCCATGAAAACAGATTTATGGAAAAATGGTAACTGTACTTTGCAAGATGTATGTTTAACTGAAATAAGAATTCCCCTTTCTTTAAGTAGATTTGGGGTCTATAAACGGGTGTCAGAATGCCAGCTGTGACTCACTATAAGCAACAGCATTCCTTGTTTATCCTTGCAAAGACACAGTGGTTTCTTTTAAGCAACACAACGGTAGCAAATTGATTTGACAGGCAAGCTCACATGGTTTGATGTGAACATTGCAAGAGCGATCCGTGTGTCACCAGCAAATGTGAAGAGCCCAGGACAGCACGGGGCTGGCGGCTTTTGTATGAGCACGAGGTTAGTTTCTGGAGGCCGTATCTTCTCCTCCTGGACACAGAGGTTACATCTACCCTCCACATTTTTCCCAAGACCTGCATCCTGAAGGCTGGAGTGCGTAGGGAAGCACAAATGCTTGATTTGGCGTGTGAAAGTGGGTGTACAGTTAATGTTTTGAAGTATTATGATTATTATTTTAAAGTATTGTGATTTTCAGTAGTATGATTCCAACATAAACTATTCTATGATTCTATTATAATCACGGCGTGGTCCATAGAATCCTTCCAAATTGAGCTACTTGGTTAGGCTGATACTTGTATTCTTGTAGCACCCAAATACTTGCAAAGGCGTTTTGCCCTGTTCATGCTCTTGACCAAAAAGTGACTGGAGAAAGCCATAGCTGTGCCAGCCACATGTGGGTGGAAGGGGCAGGATTTCAGCATTTGTAGACCATACAAGGCAGCTCCTGTGAGCACAGCAGAGGGGGAGCTTGCAGTTTGCAGAGAGCCTACAAAAATGGATGTTGGCACAAGCATAACATCATATAGAACAATGGTGATTTTGTACTGTGCTTCCAAAAGGACTCAATCACATCAGCCCTTGGCCTCATCCCTACAGGCTCTGAACACTGCATCAACTTTGTCCTCCTCCCAGCATGGGGCAGGAGCTTCACCCAGCTCCTGCCTGTCTGCTCTTGGGAGCTGCAGGGAGAAACCTCACTGCAGAGCGGTCAAGGGCAGTGTCTCCAGGAGGAATTAATCCCACTACTGGAGGGAAACTTGCTTCCTCAGGGAGTCCCTTCACCATCCAAACCATCATCCACTCTCAGAGGCATTACAGCCAACTAGGAAAGTCATAGAATCATAGAACCATAGAATGGTTTGTGTTCTCTGGAAAGCTCACCCAGCTCCAACCCCTGCTACAGGCAGGGACACTTTCCACTAGAGCAGTTTGCTCCAAACCCCGTCCAACCTGGCCTTGAACATTGCCAGGGATGGGGCAGCCACAGCTTCTCTGGGCATCCTGTGCCAGCGCCTCAGCACCCTCACAGTAATGAATTTCTTCCTTATATCTAATCCAGAGGTCCCATCCCTGTCTTAAAAACCCACACATAAGAAAAGCTAAATCGAGCGGTGAAAGGCTGTAAGAAACCACATTGTTCTTGTTGTTCTTTTCTGGTCTTACATTGACCTTTGAAAATGAGAGCACTTTCGACCTGAACTGGTGGCAGCCCTTGGGCAGGAGCTGACGCGCAGAGGTTCAGGTGGCAGGGCTGACCTCTTGCCATGGAATTTCACCCAGTAATTTCTGCGGCAGAAAGAACTCCTCCGAGCTGCTGTCTGGCTTCAGAAGTAAATTTAAGTGCCTGTGGCTTGACAAATAAACATTCTGAAAGCACTCAATGACTCACAACCTCACCTAAGAATAGTTGAATTTTGCAAGACTGAAATACATAGCAGAGAATATGGCCTCTGACACTGCCCGGGCACGGAGCTGAGGGACATGGTGGGAGAAGGGAAGGGAGAGGCTTTGGCTGCAGCGTGCCTGCATTCCTGCCGTCCCCTCCCAGCTTCTGGCAAGCCACATCTCCTGGAATCATGGAATCCCAGCCTGGTTTGGGTTGAAGGGACCTTAAAGCTCATCCAGCTCCAACCCCTGCCACAGGCAGGGACACCTTCCACTAGAGCAGCTTGCTCCAAGCCCCTGTGTCCAACCTGGCCTTGAACACTGCCAGGGATGGGGCAGCCACAGCTTCTCTGGGCACCCTGTGCCAGCGCCTCAGCACCCTCCCAGGGAAGAGCTTCTGCCTAAGAGCTCATCTCAGTCTCCCCTCTGGCAGGTTAAAGCCATTCCCCTTGGCCTGTCCCTATAGGCCCTTGTCCAAAGCTCCTCTCCAAATCTTTTGTCTCGGAGGCTTCTTCAATGTTCATGTGCATCAGCCACCTCAGAGCTGTCCTCCACGAATTCACCTAATCCTCTTCTAAATAATTTATGAAGTTTCATTTATACACACAGCAAAGTACTGCTCGTTTACCCAATTGGGTTTGAATTGCTGTTATTCTCTTGGATTAAAGAGGGGTCACACAAGTTTTATGGATCAGAAGTTACACTTCTCAGCGCCTAACATTTCACAGAAGAAAGATTCTTTGTCTTCAAGTTATCAAGCAAGTAAAACCTCAGTGACTGAAAAGGGAAATTGATTTTGGTTCTGTTTGCTCATGGGGGGGGGGTTGGTACTCGCTGCTCACTTTCCTGGGGCACGTTTGCAGCAGTATGTGCTGTGAACTGCCACCGCTTTGCTTCTTACACAGGCACCCCCACACGTTTTAGTGCTTTAATCTAACCCCAGGGAGAACAGAACAAAACACAGGTTCAGCTCGATGCCTGTGACCATAAAAGCTTCCTGCAGGTGCCCGAGGTTTCTGTTGCAAAAGCCTTGTAGTTGTTAGAGCTCAGGGAGTGTCACGGCTTTGGAGAAGAGCCGAAGGGATGGGTAGTGGTTAAGCTGCACCATCCCAGGAACAGCAGGAGAGCTGCTGTGTCCCAGAGGCCACAACTGCACATCAAAGTAGGTTTGTTTTCAGGAACAGGAGAAGAAAATAACGTAGGAGCCGTCTCCCGCCTCCACCAACCAAGGAAAAAATCTGTCTGATTTCATGGTCCCTCTCTTTTGGGCCTTGCCAGAATAACCTGAGCAGCAGGGGCAGGGCTGTCCTCATGGCATGAAGCCCAAAGACTCCACTAAGACACACTTTTCCCTTGGTTCTTTGATCTGTTGTTAAAATCATCAGGAAATGTCTTCCTCTTGTTCGGCACATGGGAAAAAGCACAGACAGAGCTGGATGCCAACCTTGACCGTGCAGGGCCCCCATCGCTCCCGGGTGGGTAATGGGAAATTTCCTCCCTCCCTGGATTAGTTGGGATCACTGGGAAGTGGCTGGAGCTCAACCCTCAGCTCCCCTCCTGTGATGTGGATCCCCCAGCACTGAGCCCAGACATGGTCCTGCACTGAGCTGTGCCTCAGGGCTCCTGCTTCAGAATCCCTCATTCCCATGGTCAGAGCCCCCTTGCCCTGGCCATCCACTGACCCATCTGAGCCAGGCTCTGGCAACCGTGTGCATGTTTTTCAGGCTGGAGACGAAAACCTAATTGCAGTGCTGATGGGATGATGGGAGCTTAAGGACTCTTACTTACAGCATTTACCTCTCAGAGAGGAAAAGTATCTGGGCTCCTCTTGAGGAAGGGAGGAATCACAGTGAGCCTCATTTGTCCCCGGATGATGCTGAGCTTTTAGCTCAGGCAGAGGCCATGCATCCACCCCCAGCATTGCTGGAGCTGCTGCTCTCCCACGCTCCAGAACAGCGGGAAGCAGGGCTGGGGTTTGTCTCTGTGTCTCCAGACAAGCAAAATGAAAAGCGTCACCTAAAGCTGAAGGTGGTGTTGAAGGTCACTCAACCACTGGTGTCTGCTTGTTCCAAAGTCTAGGAAAGAGCTGTCCCTGTAGTGACCTGCTGCAGCCGGGGAGGTGACAAGTACATGAATTGCAAAGGGCAAGGCCCAAAAGGAGGCTTAAAACCTCAAGCTGACTGTATTTTCATAGAATCCCAGACTGGTTTGGATTGGAAAGGACCTTAAAGCTCATCCAGCTC